AGAGAGAGAGAGAGAGAGAGAGAGAGAGAGAGAGAGAGAGGCGAGCAGGTAAGTTTGAACTGCGCAGCCAACCTCATGGTACTTCCATTGATCTCATGAGCAAAATCGGATGAATCTACTGCTAAAACATGGAAATATCTGCACTTCTTTTTTTTTTTTTTTTTTTTTTTTAAGAACCAATCCCCCCACCTGTTGTCCGCCATGCGCTCACCACGCTGGGTGGGTTGTCTTCAATCAACTTGAATGCAATCGTGCCATGTGGCGCACAAAGCATTTGAACGCATGTGAACACGGGACGCCCGTTTGAACGCAGGCGATTGAACACGTGTTCAGCGTGTTCAAACGGTCACATAGCCGACACTTTGGGGGGGCAAACCAGTACAGATGTGTTGTTGGAGGGGGTTTTAACTTTTCCCAATTTACTTTTCCTCGGTGCTGCACTGTGATCTTTTTTTTTTCTTGTTTTTTGGACATATTAGGGTAGTTCTGCTTATCAGGGTGATAAGAGCAGCCCTCTAAAGCAGACCCCGAGTTTTCAAGGCTCCATCTATTTATTAGTGGGGAGCTCAGAGCTGCACGGGCTGGAAACCAGGCCCAGGCTGCCCAGCCTGAGCGTCCCTGTGGATTACATTGCCTTGCCTCCAGGACACCAGGTCCAGCCCCCCACCATGAAATCCCTTTTCTCCCTGTGGGTGGTGTGGCTATTAGAGGCATTGATTGCTTCTCCATGGCTATTAGAGGAATTCATTGCTTCTCCATGGGGGAAGGATTAACATTGTTCTGTGCAGTGGCTCCGACCCTACGACGTTGTCTTTAACCTCATTCTCTACAGTGTTCCTGACCCTGTGGCCGTGCCCGGGATCACATTGGCCGCATTGCCTTGTAAAGTCCCTCCCTCGCCCTTCTCCCCTTTTTCCTGAAGTCTTCCCTTAACCCTGTATCCGAGTGATGGGAGGCTTCTCCCTTAGCTGCTGTCCAATGGGCGCCCCGTGCCATGACATTGTGTGGTTGAGGCTCTTGCTCCTGCTGAGTGCCCATGTGTCTCAACTCCGCTTTCCATTTTCTGTCTGGGCTGAGTACCTCCGCTGCTGCTGCTCGCTACCAGTCACTGTGGCTTCACCTGGCCAGGACTTGACTACAGCCGCTGTGTACGGTTGGGTGACAGAGAAGGGCAGGAGGGAGGGGGTAAGGGAGTGGAAGGAGGGGGTTCCCCTGGGAGAGGGAGAGGTGGTGAGGGGTGAGAGAGGCGAGATGGGGGGCAGGCAGGGTTGTGACTGTGTTTGGAGGGGGGGCCAAGGGGAGTGTGAGTGGGGTTCCTTCCGGCAGCGGGGGTGTTGCCGGGCCCAGCTGGGTCTGTGGTGGTTCCGGGGGAAGATGGGGAGTCTGTAGCAGAGGTCCCTACCTTCTTCCCCCGAATACAACGCACGGTCATTATAGCTGAATTTGGTCTTAACTGTCAGTCTAAATTCAGCTATAATGACCGTGCTTTGTATTCCGGGGAAGACTGTAGGCTCGCGGAAATGCAACTTTTGATTTGTGAAAATAGGTCAGGATGGAGCGAACATAACGCAGCATAAAAATGAATGTATAAGAGGTATATTTAGGGCCAGATACAGCCAAAATAAGGGTGCGTTGTGTTCGGAGGAAGATGGTAGTACCTTTTCCATTCATGCCGAGGGCAGTTTTGGACCCCCGGAAACAGAAAACAGGGTGCCGATGAAATTTATCATTGGCTGAAGGCTGAACCCCCTGGAAACGGAAAACAGCCCCCCGATGCTTGAACCCGCTTCCCTTCAGTGTAACCTGCCGTGGAGACAGTTGAGCTGGAGATATTTTTTTCTTTTTTTTCTTTGTATATTCTTCTCTCAACTTCTGTTTCTTTTACCTTCCACTACCTACTCCTAAGACTATCTAGAGGGGACCCCTGCAAGCATACTCTGTTTCCTCTCACTGTGAAGGGGAGATTTCATGTTGCCCCTTGCCCCTAATGTTTAGGCTATAGGGTTGGGGCCGCCAGTGGGGGTCTGGCTAACACAAAGACCGAGACCTGCCAGTAGCTGTGCCTCCCTTTCTCATCGTCACCCACCCCTCATCGAGTAGCAGCAGTAGCTATGGTCAACACTCTCCCACACACCACACACAACCCACACGCCCTCGCACTCACACCCATGTTGGTCTTAGATTACACTAATACCGATCAGGAGTATCCAGAGGATTATCCCAGTTCGTTGGACTAAGAGCGCCCCAGGCGGCCATGGGGCTTGTACCCACAACCTCCTGAATGCCACTTGCGTGTCTAACCAACTGAGCTAGGCCGCTGGATGAGCTGGAGATATTTGGATACCAAGCAATCGAATTGCAAAAAAAAAAAAAAAAAAAAAAAAAAAACCAGCAGCAGTGAATTGCAGCAGTCAATTTATGCTGCAGTTAGTCTAAGACTGTTTTTCACTTGTCAAGAAATTTTGGCTGCCTTGTGTTTTTGTGTGTGTACGACAGGCACACAGGTCTTCGTGTTCAAGCACAAGACAGCCATCGTGGTTGCTTTTCGGGGCACAGAGCCTTTCAACCTTTTTGATTGGCTGGTCGATCTCGAAACTGCCTTGAAGTCACCCCGCGGAACTGACAAGAACCCCGATAGAGCCCTGCTGGGGAACATGCATGCAGGGTTTTATGATGCCTTGATGACTCCACCAAACAGTTGTAGAAGTATCCCATGGTACAGGCTCATCAATGCTGATGGGATTGCAACGGAGATGGGATTGCTGGACGAGAGTCGGCCGCCGTACGATATTGTGAGAGATCGCGTTATGGAGGAGCTGCGTCGCGACAAAGACCTGTACGTCTTTGTGACTGGGCACAGCCTCGGGGCCGCTCTGGCCTCCGTCTTCTGTGCCCATTTGCTGGTCGATGAGGATCCGGAAAACCTTGTCAAGCCGAGAGTTCAGTTGCTTTGCACCTTTGGCCAGCCAAGGACGGGGGGCTACAAATTTGCACGCTTTCTGGATTGCGCGGCTAGCACGAGAATGACCTCGATGATTGGAGAAGACGGCAAACTGATCGGTTTCAGATATCTCAGATTCGTGAACAACAAGGACATCGTTCCACGCCTGCCACCGCCTGTGAGGTTCAGCCACTCGCCCTGTTTTGTCTTCTTGAACGAGTTGGGCTATGAAGAGGTGAGTGAGAAGGATTTTTGTGTTTTGTTGCGGATCGTTTTAAATTTTTGTTTTTTTAATCTTAATTACTATGCTGCCAGACGGGCCCTGTTTCCCTCACGAAGTTTTTTGACTGAGCAAGGCTCTCCGGGGGCCAATTCCCACTAGCAGCGTTGAGCTACCTCAACGCCTGCCCGAATGGGGACGCTTTTGGGGAGATGTGCAGAAATGGTGTTGAGTTTGCTGAACTGCACGTCGCCACAAACACGTCCATATTCAGGCGTTGAGGTAGCTCAAACCATCGCCGGCGTCAGTCTTTTCCACCTCCCGGTTCAGTTCCTTAATAACCGGGGCAAAACAAGGGATTGAGTCAGCAGATCTTAACTTTTCCACTTTGCCATCACGTGATCCCATTGAAGAGACATTCCTTGGGGAGAAAGAATATGCATGCAGATTGTGAAACAGGGGTCGAGTGACGGGAGAAAGAATATGCATGCAGATTGTGAAACAGGGGTCGAGTGACTCGCGTCCGCAGTCGGTCCGCCACCATAACAAGAAGTGGTTTTGTCGAGAATGAGCTATTTGTTTTTTGGGGGTAACTGTGGCCGCGTTCTTGCAGTTTGAAGTAGGCAGAAAATTCACTAAATCGGCGGCAGGTCGATCATGGCCGTTCTCTCTCTCTCTCTCTCTCTCTCTCTCTCTCTCTCTCTCTAGAGACCAGAAAGATACACACACACACACACACACACACACACACACACACACACACACACACACACACA